GTAAGCAGGTATTCTAATTTCACAGAATGAGTGATCGCACAGCAAACAAGAAGAAAGATCAATTTGATTAAAATCTGAATCAAATTTCAGGCATCTCTGTGACATTACATCAAAATCTCCTTATGTTTCAAAAATTCCTCCAGCCACTATTTTAAACTCTATAGCATCTATGTGGAAATTTAAAGGTATGTTTATATTAAAAAACTAATGGTGCCACCTAAGCACTATGAATAAAACTACAGTTACCAGCCAAAGATGAATCGGTTTGTTCTTCATAGACCTTCTATTATGGGCAGTGGAAGGTGGGTATTCAAATGGATGGCGGTGGATCCTCAAGTCTGACTCAGCCCTCATCACCTCTTGCTGGATGTCTCATGGAGCACAACTCCTTAATCTCTCTCCCCACCCTAGTTGACCCACTAACTAAACAAGAGATTCTCCTATTTCTGGAGGAAGTTCTAGCCTAGGAAATCTTCAGCCCTAGATTCCTGCTGAGACCCAGAGTTGTGGTACCTCTTGTTTCTTTTTTTTTTTCTTAAGGTAAGAGTACTGCTATTTATTCAACCATTGATAAAACTGATTGAATTGGACATGAACTCCATATTATTTTTTAAAATTAAAAAAAATTAATTGAATGTTTCTGCCCTGCCACAAAGGCAGGGTGGGATGGGGACATGGGGGGTGGGGGGGTACTGGGATCAGTGGTGGTGGAAAATGGGCACTGGTGGAGGGATGGGTACTCGATCTTTGTATAATTGAAACCCAAGCACAAAAAATTTGTAAGTCTACAACTGTACCTCAAGGTGCTTCACTAATAAAAATTTTTAAAAAATAACTGAATATTCCTAAAATAGACCATTACAAAGCTATACATAATTGGGTTTCAGTTATACAATGAGCCAGCACCCACCCCTCCACCAGTGTACATTTCCCATCACCAATGTCCCCTGTTTCCCTATCACCATACCCCCAAACCCACTCCCCATTCCAGCATTCCTCAGTGGGAGGCACTTTTCTTCTCTCTCTCTCTCTCTCTCTCTCTCTCTCTCTCTCTCTCTCTCTCTCTCTCTCTCTCTTTCCTTTTGTGCATTATGGTTTGCAGTACAGGTGCTAAGAGGTGATGGTGTTTGTTATGGCATTCGGTAATTTTATCGGGACAGTAAAGCTAGAGTATTTTTTTCAATTGGGTGGCAGCTTTGGGTTGTGGATGTGACTGCCAAGGCTTCTGGAAATACAGGGAGGTGGAGGAAGGTGCCAGAATTTTCAACAGATTATATCTTGCGTAGGTCCGTCATGAGAGTCATGTGAGGGTATGGCAATGATTTTGGAGTGTGGGAGCAAACAGCTGCTGGGGGCTCTGCTTGGGTGGGCCTCAGGAAACCTGCCTTCCTCTAATTTACCCCAGCCTGTTCAGCCATGCACGGGTCCGAGATTAACTGTGGTTTTTGGTCTCGTTTGAGAGTTTTTTATGGGTCTTTGAAATAAGGCCAATAAATGAGCTTGTATCAATGAGCCGGAGGTGGTTTATGGGCATGGCTCCAACATACCTAACTTTTGGCAGTTTATTTTCTTGGCCCCAAGTTACTTGGGTCTGGACAAAGACACAGCAGCAATTTGGGGGTATCAGGATTTCTGAACACACCACCAGGCTGCTGATGCACTCGCCCCGAGGTACAGGTTGACCTGCTGGAGGCACCATATCCCAGCCTCTTGTTTCTGATTGATTCTTTCTCCTTCCTCTGCAATATTGCAGGGTCAGTGCCATCAACCTCCTAGGAGTTCATGGAGGACTGGATTTTATTGGATTTTATGTAGAGTGAGAGGGAAAAAGAGAGTGTCATGAGAGAGAATGCTTCTAGAAATGAAACAAATTTGGGTGGCAGAGGGTGATTCAGATTTTTGTGGGTTTTTTTCTGCTTCACTAAAGAGAAAGAGAATACCAGGGCTTAGATGCAGGGAACCCAAAGTCTTGTGTGTATGTATTTATTCTTATGGGGTATCTACTAGGGACATTGACATGAATAGGTCCTCCCCAGAGGTCATCATATCTGGTCAGCAGGAGCTTATGATAGGCTACTCAGGGCAGGTGCTCTAACACAGCTATGAGGGGATATGGGCTGAGGTGACAGATTCTACCGAAAACAAGAAGGGAAAGCATCAGCATTTAGGTCTCACTCCTGTGGAGGCATTGGGTAGGAACACACAATGATTCTTTGTTTAACACAGGAAAATTTTTTTTTATTGTATGAATGGGTACAGATAACATGGTCCTAGTCACACAGTTCCAATATTTCAGAGACAAATTGGGCTCCTATTCTAGACTTGGCCATAACTATCTCCATTTCTATCACCGATGTAGTCGAGAGTGTTTTAGGTAGACAATTTCAGGAATGTTGAAAGCATGATATGGACTTAAGTAATGTCAATGTAGCTTGGTTAGAATGGTCTTGTGGGGAATGCTTGAGGCAAGAGACATGGAGGGGTAAAGAGACCACTTTAGAGTTGCCGATCAAGCCCCTTCTCACCCTTCCTCACCTCACTCAGTATAGAAACACTATTTCTTCTTCTCCCTTTGCTCTCTCCAAGTATTCAGTAGCTGTCCTGGATTCACTTGTGAGCCATTTAACAGTGGGGGTAGGGGAAGCTCTGAGCAAGCACTCAGTCGTGGCTTCTGAGGAGATACTAGGAAGAAGATATCCTCACAGATGCCAACTGCATGAGTCCTTTCGCCCCTCTAGAATTTACATGCTATTCATGAACTCTTTCAATTCTTGTTTCCCGTGGAAGATATCTCAGCCTGGAGGGAGCATCTCAATGGGGATTCTCTGGGAGGACCCAGAGGACAGGAAATTGAATACATGGGTTTATGATACTGCAGGATCTCACTCTCAGAATAGAGAGGTGTGGTCTCACCTTGTGGGAGAATGAACAAAGTGAGTAATTGGCCATACATATCAGTAATTGGAGAGTAATTTGGAGAGCCCGGCAAGCTACCGAGAGTATTCAATATGCCAGACACAGTAACAACAAAGTCTCCAATGGAGACGTTACTGGGCCCGCTCGAGCAAATCGACGATCAACGGGAGGGCCTTTACCTTTACCTTTACCTTATCAGTAATTGGAGGGGTCTGGGTTTAACTCCAAAAGGGTTACAAATGCTAAAATGATACCTCTTCAAACCCCCCTGCCAAATCTCCCAATGAACCCCAGAACCTAGAGACGGCTCTCTTTCATCCTCTCTTGCTGAGATGTGCATGGTTCTCCTCACTCAGGCAATACTTGACCCTTTCCAACGCAGGGATCTCTGCTGGTCTGAGTTGAGGGCACTGCCTGAGGACAGGCATGGAGGTGTCCTTCTGTGAAAAGCAATTGATGACACGACACCTGTTGGTCAGTTCTGGACCTTCCCAGTCAACCTGCCTCTTGTTCACTAACTGTCCCACAGACCTGAGGCCTTGGGAGGTCCCTTTTCAGTGCACCTTCGAAAAACATCAATTAGGCTCTTCCTTTTTGACCTTGGTGTTTTCCTACTTACATGCCCTATATATTAGAGGAAATCAAGGATGGGGAAGCAGAAGATGCAGTAAAAAGGGAAGGAGAACAGAAGAATAAACAGAGATGAACAAAAACACTTCTATTGAAACAATCTGGCAATGAACCCATTGTTCAGTCTCAGAAGGGTCTCGATGAGAACCTGAAAGAAATTACCCAAAAACTTGAAACCATATTTAAGACAATTTTGAGTTCAGGAACGTTTTGTTTACAACCACAGACATAAAATGAAGGTGAAATTTACTAGATCTCTTAAAAAGTCAAGGTTACATTGGAGACCAGCCACACACGCTAGGGGAAAAGGCAGTTCAGATAGAGAAGGGAGCACCAAATAAAGGGTGTTGGGAGAATCCTCCCAGGATGGGAGAAGCATGCTGAAAGTAGACTATAAACCGAACATGATTGCCACTCAATGCCTCTTTTGCAAACCACAGCACCCTAAAGGAGAGAGAGAACAAAAGGGAATGCTCTGCCACAGAGTGGGATGGGAGGATGGGGGTTGGAAGGGACACTGGGATCAGTGGTGGTGGAGAATGGGCACAGGAGGAGGGATGGGTACTCAATCTTTGTATAACTGAAACCCAAGCACAAAAATTTGTAAGTCTACAACTGTACCTCATGGTGTTTCACTAATAAAAGTTAAAAAAAAATTCAAGGTTACAAAGAATGCCCATAAACCATGGCAGATACAACTAGAGATTCCCAGACAGTTTAAGAGCCACACGTACACACACACACACACACACACACACACACACACACACACACTCACACACACCATTTAGTTCTGCTTCAGGCTTCCCCAGCCAGGATGAGTGTGGGGGTGTCAGCAATGTGGCTCATTTCCTCTCCCAGGAAGCTTCTGGATTCAGGGCACACAGGTCTGTCTGACCTCCATCACCCCACAGATTCCAGAGAGGGGCAGGGCTGGGGGTATGGAGAGTCCATCATCTTCCTGCTGCCTTGACTTCACCTCAACCTGGGAAAGTCACTCCCCCCCTCCCCGTGCCTCAGTTTCCCTGGGGACCTGGTACTTAGTAGGCACCTAGACTCGGGTGGGTGACACCAAGTCTTAGTCTTCGGGTTTCAGGGCAACTTGATCTCTGAGTTTCAACAGAAATTCTTTGTCTCCTTAGCCTAGGCAGCAGGGCCCTGGGGTACAAGTTTCCAGAGAACAGGAGGGGGACTCCCCTACTCTTCTCTTCCTTCTCTGCTGCCTCCATATTCCCAAGGGAGGAGCTCTCATACCCCACCCACATCCACCTGCATCACGGTTCACTGTGTCTCAAGGACAGAGACTCAATTAGGGGTACGGGTTGTCCTTGTGAACCCATCTGAGCAGTCTCCTCCCTCTAATGTTTAGGGAAAAGAGGAGGGAGCAGCAGTCAGCCCAGTGGGGTCAAATCTGGGTTCTGCTTCTGGTTCCGGTGTAGACTCAGGCCCTTTACCTATTTTCTGGGACTTGATTTTCCTCATACACTGTCCATTGAGTGAGGTTGTGAGAGGATGAGGTGAGGAGATGGACATGGGGTCCTCTCTCCCCTGCTTACCACGGAGTCTTCTTCTGGATGTTGGGATTTAGGATCCAGGTTCTCCAGTGCAGATAATATTGCATGACCATTTTGATTTGCATTTCCCTGACCATCAGGGATGATGAACATTTTTTGTAAGTCTCTTGATCAATTGTAACTTCTTTGAGGTATTGTTCAGCTTCCGCTCTGGTTTTTGATGGGGTTGTTGGGTTTGTTGTTGAGTTTGGTGAGTTCTTTATGTTCTTATGAATTTTATTTGTTCACATTTTTAAAACTTTTTTTTGTTATAGTTTAGGTAGTTACAATACTGGTAAATTTTATGGTACCCCTAAGCTATGTTGCCCCATCCCAGCCCCACCAAAACGCCTGCGACTTTCTACCATCTTCCCTCTCTCTCTTCTAGTCTGTTCTTCAGATATCATTTCTTTGTCAGGTTCATGTTTTCTCCCATCTAGTCATCATTCATTTTGCAGTGCGGAAACATTTTAGTTAGATACAGTTCCATTGTCATTTTTGCCTTTGTCAATGGTGTGAAATAATTGAAAAACCCCCAAAGTCAGTAGCTGGGAGAGCTCTGCCTATGTTTTCCATGGTGTTTTTCTGAATTTGAGTCTGATACTGAAGTCTTTCATCCATTTTGAATTAACATTTGGGTGTGATGTGAGTTGTGGACCAATTTTTTTTTGTTGTTGTTGTTTCTGAGCCACACTTGGTAGTTCCCCAGGAACTCTCTACCTCTGTCTTGGGTGTTGCTTTTGGTGGTACCATGGACCATGGGATCATTGTATCGATTGAGCCTCTTACATGCAAGGCACATTTTGTGCACACTTCACCCATGGTTCATCTCTTGGGCCCTCAATTGCTTTTATTCTATTTTTCTCTCTCTTTTTCTCTTTCTTTTTATTTTTTTTTAATAATGTAGGAGCACTGCTACTTATTCAGCCATTTATTAAGCTGATTGAATTGGACATGAACTCCACAGTACTTTTTTTTAAAAATTTGTTTAGTTTTATAAGTTAGTTCAGAATGTTTGGTTACATTCAATATTCAAACACCATTACACCTTCTCACCACCAAATTTGGGATGTTTCCATCCCAAACCCCAATCTCTGTCCCAAAATAACTGAAATAATATATTTTGTATTGTCTGTTATGAAGAACTGCTGAACATGCTTACATAAAAATGTTCATAAGTGTGAAGATTGTTCTATTTTGGCAGGAGCCATTAAGACATTCTATAGGATATCACTAACATGTTGCTAGTGTTTGGGTGATGTGAATTTTGGTATATATATATCTGAAAATATGTATATATGCATACATATTTTTTCCTCTATAATATGTTGCCTACTCCATCAATTGTGGTGTGGTAATTATAGAGAATGGGTAGGGAGTGTTTTATGATGTGTCACACGGCCATAAAAGCTACCACACAGTCCAGGAAAATATTTACTCATATGTGAGGCTCGGCCCAAGCACATGGGGAGTGACCTTGAGCATGGCGGTGGTTGGGTTGTGGAGGCTTTTGATTGCGGAAGTGGGTCCCTTGGGGCGGGGAGGGTTCTCACCCGCCCCCCTGTGGAGCACTCCTGTGAAGACAGCCTGGTGCAGGGTTAGAACAGTCCGTGGCGCTCTCGGGAATTTTAGTTTATAGTCATTGAGACTTGGTTGTTGATGAGATTACATGGGAAATTTGTGGGTGTGACTGTCAAGCTACTAGAAAACTGGGGTCCTGGGGGGAGGAGGCCCAGTCCTGATCCAAGCCGTCCTGGAGCTTTCAGTCACGAGTTCCTGCTTATCTCTGTGCTACAGGCCCTAACTGCGTCTTTTGATCTCTTTTGAGATTTATGAGTCTCTGAAATAAGGCCAATAAATGAGCTTAAATAACTGAGCCAGTGGTGGTTTGTGGGTGTGTCTCCCACATATCTAACTTTTGGCTGTTTAATTTCTTGATAAACTTGGCCCCAAGTTACTTGGGTCTGACCAAAGGCACAGCGGCAACATTGGGGTATCTGGAAGTCTGAAGGCACCATCAGGCTGCTGATGCACTTACCCCACAGGTACAGGTTGACCTGCTGGCGACACCATACCCTCTTCTTTTTACTTTTTTAATTGAATCACCGTGAGCTACAGTTACAAAGCTTTCATGTTTGAGTTTCAATCATACATTGATTGAACACCCATCCCTCCACCAGTGCACATTCTCCTCCATCAGTGCACATTCTCCACCACCAGTGTTCCCAGTTTCCCCACCCCTACCATCCCACCTTTCCCCCTGCCTCTATGGCAGACAATTTTCCTCATACTCTCTCTCTCTGTTTTAGGGCATTATGGTTTGCAATAGAGATAATGAGAGACTATCACGTTTGGCCCTTCTACTTTCAGCACACATCTCCCATCCTGAATGATCCCTACAATCATCATTGACTTAGTGATCCCTTCCTCTCTATTCTAGCTGTCCCAGCTCATAAGATAGACTTCCAACTATGGAGAAATATTCCTGGTCCTTGCCTCTATTGTCCTTGGGTGTCAGTCTCATATTACATTATTTTATATTTCACAAATGACTTTCTCTATTTCTTTCTCTTTATTTCTCTCATATTTCGCACCTTCCTTCCCTCCTTTCTATCTTTCTCTTTCTTTCTCTCTCATATTTAACTCTATCTCCTTCATTCCTCCTCTCTTTCTTTTCTTTCTTTCTCTCCTTTCTTTCTCTTTTCTTTCTCTCATATTTAACTCTACCTCCTTCATTCCCTCCCTCCCTCCTTTCTTTCTTTCTTTCTTTCTTTCTTTCTTTCTTTCTTTCTTTCTTTCTTTCTGTCTGTCTGTCTTTCTCTCTTTTATTTCTCTTTTATTTCTCTCATATTTAACTCTATCTCCTTCATTCCCTCCTTTCTTTCTCTTTCTTTCTTTCTTTCTTTCTTTCTGTCTTTCTTTCTCTCCTTTCTCTTTTCTTTCTCTCTCATATTTAACTCTCCTTCCTTTCTTTCTTTCTTTCTTTCTTTCTTTCTTTCTTTCTTTTCTTTCTTTCCATTCTTCCTTCTGTTTAGTCATTTTTCCCAGCATTATTCATGGTGGAGCGATAGCACAGCGGGTAGGGCGTTCGCCTTACAAGCGGCCAACATGGCCGACCCGAGTTCGATTCCTCCGCCCCTCTCGGAGAGCCCGGCAAGCTACCGAGAGTATCCGATATGCCAGACACAGTAACAACAAAGTCTCCAATGGAGACGTTACTGGGCCCGCTCGAGCAAATCGACGATCAACGGGAGGGCCTTTACCTTTTACCTTTATTCATGGTGGCCAAAAGATGGCGCCAACACAGAGTACACACTCAGTGCTTTGTATGCCATCGCCCTAATTCATGATTTGAAATTTGAAAAAAACACCTGTCAAAGAAGTTTACACTACTCCCCTTATGGCTCCCAAGTCGTTTGTCCTATTGTCTATACATGTGAGGGTCATTGTGTCCTATTTATTTATTTCTCAGAGCCCCCACTCACAGCATAGACAAAGTAAAAGGCCCGGACTAGGGTGCTTATAGACTGGTTTCACTGTGCCTCTTCTCTCTGCAGACAGTGGAAAGAACAACTGTGACAAGCCTCCGGAAACAAAAATGTCTTTTTGTATAGGAGCTGCATCGGGAAATGGCAATACCTTCCGCAGGAGGAAGCAGAGGACGCCTGAGTTTCAGTCAATTTTGAACATTTCCCTTTGACAAAGTCCTAAATTTGTGCTGGTTTTGTTTGGTCCTAGTATTACCCACTATGTGCTCGCCCACTATGTGCTCGTGTTTGAGTTTTGCTGATCATATTTGGAGAGTTACAAAATTCCCAACGGATGTCAGTTTGAAGAACTAATGCTATTTGTAAAGCAAATTCATTTTTGGGGGAAAGGATGCTTTTTTGGGTCACGCCCGGCAATACACAGGGGTTCCTCCTGGCTCTGCACTCAGGAATTACTTCTGGCAGTGCTCAGGGGACCCTATGGGATGCTGGGAATCGAACCCGGGTCGGCCGCATGCAAGGCAAACGCCCTACCCACTGTGCTATTGCTCCAGCCCCCAAGCAAATTCATTTTAACAAGCTAAAACTCTAATGTGTAACATAACTATATCTAAACACTAGAAAAAATGATTTTGTATTTTCTTCAAATAGTAAAGGGAAGGACTACCGTGTGATTCTGTGATTTCCTGTCTGGGTGTCCCCTTGATGATGGATAAAAGAATCTGAAAGAGCAATTTATTCCCACGTTCATAGCAGCATTACTCAAGGTGGACAAAAGATGGCGCCAGCTCACAGTACACACTGAGTGCTTTGTCTAAGTTTTTAAGTTACTGTCCCATCTACTTCGGTGTGGTACCCCTGGAATTTCAATATTGACAATTAGGATGTGTCGCGCAGCTCCATACTTGTCCAAGCAGTACAGAAACTTCAGGATCTATGGTCTGAACTAATGAGTTGACCTGGCAGCAGATACTGGAGTTGAACGTGACTGACAGGGATACCAGAAGTATGGGGGGGACAGGGGGTGAATGAAGAGAGGCTGCCCAGCACACACCCGAGAAGACACCATAGTTCTCAGCCGGGACACTGGTGTACCTGAAATTATACACACTTTGTTGTCTCTGCAGAGAATATTCGTGAAGCAGTGGAGTTGATCTTTCGGCATGCCTCAGTTGTGAAGTACTGTGACATTCAGAGCGTTGACAGAACAGGTACTCACCCACCCACCCCCCAAGACTCCCCAAAGTTTTTAGCCATGGGGATTGGTGTTTCCAAGCATCTTAACTGCTTAGAGAGCATCTCCTCAGAGATATAGTTGGGAGGAACTGATAGAGCAGGACCTGTAGGTGAGTCAACATGTTGGCGGCTGTGGGAGTTGGACCCACACCAGCCTTCTGTGTTAGCCCTTCTCCCAGCCCATCACTCTGCCTGGTGTGCTCTTCCACTGAAATGCCAACTCCCTAACCATCAGCTCCATCGGAGCCTTTCTCTCACCCCCCCATTTCTGCTTTAACAAGATTTAATGGTCCCGTGTCCACACAAGACCTTGCACCGTGGGCCAATCTTCAGAAGGCAGGTTCTACTGCTGGCTCTCATGAAACTTGTTGAGTTCCTCCAACACCTTTTCCAACTCGTTGGCCCTTTGCCTCATCTTCTCAGCTGACTTGGTCTTTGCTCCCTCCCATAACTCCTTTGAGTCTTGCACGAGACTGTAGGCATCACAGAGAACAGATAAGCCCGTGCTGGCCACACCTGCAACCAAGGCCTTCTTGGTCATTGTCTTCGCAGTGTTTCCGAGCACTTTCTGGACAAGATTATTACTGAGGATTGAGCTTGTATTTGCTAAATTTGAATTATTCATAGCACGGGCATGCTTCACAACACGTCTCAATATTTTGTAAGTAACTCCCACAGAAGAAAATCTTTGTTTGCTGTCATTTGCAACTCCTTTGGCAAGTTCTTTCACTTGTTCCATCCCAAGTGTTGGCACGATTTTGGCTTCAACTTCGATCGACAACTTTTTTCTGTGTTCCACTATGCTGGTGAACCCAGCAGCGACAGCAGACCCGACACCTAAGCCCATTGCAGATGTTGAGAGTCCCACACTCACCCCTCCTGTCACAGGGATCAGGCCTATGCCCGCAATGGTCAGGAGGCCAGACACAAGGCCAGTGGAGTTGGCTACCATATTGGAGATGGTACAGGCCTTGTGGACCTGGTCAACCCTGTCTGCTAGTTCTCGGAGCTGTTCTATGCGTTTGCCAAGTTTCACTTTCACCTCAGGAAATGCCTTCCAAATATTCCCCTCATGGCCTTGCTCTTGTTGCAGTATTGCTTTGATTTCCATGAGCCTGAGTATTGCCTGCTTCCTCAGACCTTCCCGGGCGGCCTCTGCCTCTTCCCTGTAATGGAGAAGGTAAATGATCAGCTTGCAGTTTGTAAAATGCACCGGGCAGCATCAGTTCTGCAGGAATCATGGAACTTTGGGAGTATAGCGATAGTATAGGGGTAGGGCATTTAACTTCCACTTGGCCAATCTGGGTTCGATCTCCAGCATCCCATATGGTCCCCTGAACACTGCTAGGGGTGTGAGTGCAGAGCCAGGAGTAACCCCTGAACATCACTAGGTGTGACCCAAAAAGACCAAAAAATAAAAAATAAAAGGAAAAAGACAAAATCATGGGGCTTTTACTACTTATCAAATGAGAAAGGCTTTCAAAAATGTAAAAAAAAATATTCTACTGGCATCAAATACATTTGACATGCCTGGTGGTGCTCAGGGCTTACTTCTGGCTCTGTGTTCAGGGATCAGTCCTGGCAGTGCTCAGGCAACACTATGGGCTTCCAGGGATTGGGCCAGGTCAGCTATATGCAAGGAAAGTGACTATCTGTACTACCTACCTCTTCATTTCTCATGAAATCTTGGGAGAGACATCCTTTTTTTCCCCAAAAAGTTTTTTTTTAATTTTTAAAATTTTTTATTAGTGAAACGCCATGAGGCATAGTTGTAGACTTACAAATTTTTGTGCTTGGGTTTCAGTTATACAATGATTGAGTACCCTTCCCTCCACCAGTGCCCATTCTCCACCACCACTAATCCAAGTATTCCTCCCCCCCACCCCCCCATCCCACCCTGCCTCTGTGGCAGGGCACTCCCTTTTGTTCTCTCTCTCCTTTTGGGTGCTGTGGTTTGCAAAAGCGGAATTGAGTGGCAATCAAATTTGGTCTATATTCTACTTTCAGCATGCATCTCCCATCCTGGGTGGCTCTTCCCAACACCCTTTATTTGGTGCTCCTTTCTGGAAGAGACATCCTTAACCCCAACTGCAGGCCTCCTCAGCCAGGAGAAAACTTCCTGGAAATCCCTTGCCTCCCACCAGCGGTACCTGGTGAACTCTGCCTCACACACAAGTTCCTTCCAGATTTCATGCTCACACAGCAGGACTAGTAGATCCACATTAGTCATCATGTTCGGGATATAGTCAATGGAATGTCCAATGAAGTTGCTGTTCTTTAGAAGAAAAAGCAAAGAATAAGGTGAGAGGATCAGGGTGCAGCTTCACTCATGGTGACCCCAAGATTCCATGTGTTTCTTGCTGAGCAGCTGTTTGCTGGTCATCATTGATAGAGTCATACGGTTAATGCCTTCCCACTCCATTTCTCAGGTAGAGTCCTGGCTCCCCATGTGACTTGACTTAAAGATGAGGACTTTAAGAAGTAGGAAAGAGTAAATGAGGGACTGGAGTGACAGTACAGAGGGGAGGGCATTTGCCTTGCATACGACTGACTGGGGCTTGGTCCCCAGCATTCCATAGGGTCCCTCGAGCATTTCCAGGAGTAATTCCTGAGTCATCCCTGAGCCAGGATCACCCCTGAGCATCACCCCTGAGCCAGGGTCACCCCTGAGCATCACCAGGTGTGACCCAAAAATCAAAAAAATAAAAGAAAGAAGAAAGAAGAAATGAACGATAAGGACAGGACCCAAATCTGCAGAGACTAGAGTTCTGATAAGATTTGAATGAGATCACATGCTCATGTGTCTATCTCTCTGCACACACACATTCCTTTGTGGAATGGCCGTGTGAGGACATGGTAGTCAGGTGTCTGTCTGCTACCCAGAAAAAGAGTTCTCACAGAAAGTAGACCACCAGCACCTTAATCTTGAACTTCCAGTTGGCAGATCCATTTCAACTACCAAAAAACAATGCACTGTAGCACTGTCCTCCTGTTCATCGATTTGCTCGAGCAGACACCAGTAACGTCTCCATTGTAAGAGTTGTTACTGTTTTTGGCATATTGAATACGCCACAGGGAGTTTTCCAGGCTCTGCCGTGTGGGTGGGATACTCTCCGGCTCCCCAAGAGAGACAGAAGAATGGAACCCTGGTTGACTGTGTGCAAGGCAAATGCCCTACCCGTTATGCTATCGCTCCAGCCCACCAAAAAAATGTGAGAACTAAAATAAATGTGGCTTCTCAATGTTTCTTTTGCAAACAACAACACCCAAAAGGAGAGAGAGAACAGAGGGGAATGCCCTGCCACAGAGATAGGGTGGGATTGGGGGGTGGGGGGGTGGGAGGGATACTGGAATCCGTGGTGGTGGGAAGTGGGGACTGGTGGAGGGATGGTATTTGATCATTGTATAATTGAAACCCAAGCACAAAAATGTGTAAGTCTGCAACTGTACCTCATGATGTCTCACTATTAAAAAATTTTTAATAAAAAATAAATTGAATTACTAAAAAAATGGAATTAAATCAAACTGAAATATTTCAGAAAAGTGAAAGAAACTATCATTAAAACAAAAAGACATCCAATTGGATGGGAGAAGAAAAAATAAAAAAAAATAAAATAAATGTGGCTTTATTTGGGGAGGGAATGAGCTGAACGGATTCATTTTGATTCTATATACTTTTTCTTAATATGAAGAAAGAAGTCACTAATAATGTCTAGTAACCCTCAAGATGAATGGTCTCCAGCACCACTGAAGATTTTGAGGGCAGGAAATCTCGGAGCAATGAGACACAAATCTTTGTCCTCAAGAGAAAACTGTCAAGTAGAAGAAACCTGAGAATTGGCGGCTGGCAGGTTGGCGAGGAGAAATAGACTTGGCAACATGTCCAACGAGAATGTTCTCAAGGAACTGTCATTTAAAGTGATTATTCTCCTTCGCACAACTGACTCATTCACAAAGGCACCCATGGGTGCCTATTCTCTACTCGGGTTGGGAAGAAAGCTTGGGAAAAAGGAAATTGCAGTGTCCACTACTCCTTAGTAAAAACAAAGCAGATAGAATTTTTAAAGTGGTTGAAGGGGCTGAAGAGGAAGTACAGAGGATAGGGCGCTGGCCTTGCATGTGATTGACCCAGGTTTGATCTCCAGAACTCCATTTGACCCCCCGTCACTCATCATGAGTGATTGAATCCTGAACACAGAACCAGAAGTAATCCCTGAGCACTACTAGGCATGGCTCAAATCCAAAACCGAATAAATAGATAAAAGATGCTTGAAATTCCAGTGTACTGGAAAATGTTGAATTGTTTGGTTTCAGTAAGAAGGGGGATGGTTACACATACATACAGACACACACACACACACACACACACACGTGTTTTCCCTTCCATTCTATTTCTTTCTGTGACTGTAAGGGAATGAGAAAGAAATTCAGGAGCTGACCTCATAACTAGGTGGGGCTATTCTCAGGCCACATTAATCATCTACTGACATCAATGCAGATATTAACCATCTACAGACAGACACAAACCCAAGAATCTTTTTAGGGATCATGACAAGTGCACAGAGAAGACACCATAATTCTGTCTCGGCACAAACATCAGGACTTGTGTATCCATCCCTGACTAGAAATACCGATATTTTTCTGAAGAAAAAAAAAAAGATTTATTTCTGAGAAAAAAAAAAAGACAACACGGTGCATCCTACTAAGGGTAAGAAGCAGAGTTTCAAGGGGCTGGAGCGATAGCACAGCTCGTAGGGCGTTTGCCTTGCACGCGGCCAACCGAGTTCGATTCCCAGCATCCCATATGGTCCCCTGAACACTACCAGGGATAATTCCTGAGTGCAGAGACAGGAGTAACCCCTGCGTATTGCCGGGTGTGACCCAAAAAAGCAAAAAAAAAAAAAAGAATCAGAGTTTCAGGAGATGGTTGACCCTACCAGGTACTGGCAGAATGTGCCAGCACAGACCATTGATTATTGGGAAGGAATTGAAACCATCCTATGAAGTCAAAGATCACCAGGATTGCAAAGTGGCCAATTACTACTTGATAACAATTTCATTTGCTTAGAGTTGACAAAACTGAAGGACTCTCACTGCCTTTTGATTGTTCTGATTTTTTCTTCCTCCCCTTTCCCTTCATGGATTTGGACCAGGCACCTTTGGTCTCTAATTTCTTTGTCTCTGATGTCACCCCAACAATTCAAAAAGAGTCCCTCGGTTATTTCACATTTATGGTACAGCTTTACTGGTGTTAAGGAAGAGGAGGAGGAGGAGAGGAGAGGGAGAAGAGGAGGACAAGGACAGCATGGTGACAGTGACAACGATGAAATAAAAATCTCCTGGTAAATCAATCAACCCACCAACTCATCAACCAGGAAGTCCAGTAGGGGGGAGCAAATATGCCCCTCTCGGAGCTGGAGCAATAGAACAGCGGGTAGGGCGTTTGCCTTGCACGCAGCCGACCTAGGTTTGAATCCCATCATCCCATATAGTCCCCCGAGCACAGCCAGGAGTAATTCCTGAGTGCATAAACCAAGAGTAACTCCTATGCATTGCCGGGTGTGACCCAAAAAGAAAAAAAATGCCCCCCTCAAATGCCTCAATTGGAAAGGGTTTAATTCTGGTAGGTGGTACAAGAGAAGGTGGGGTTTCCTGTTGGGGGCTAGTGAACAGTCAAGAGGAGCTCTGGGTACAGGAAGGCCCCACGTTTTTTCCTATCAAAGGAGGAATCTAAATTGGCAAAACGGTCCTGGCTGTGCCTCTTCTGCCTTCCTGAAACGCCCCCCCCCCACAAGCCTGACCTTTCCTTCCTCCCAGTCCCTGGGTCTTAGTTGAGGTGATTGAATGTGGGATCTGACCGGCAGGGGGGCGTCACTCAGAGCTTCTGGGTCTCTTCCCAGCGCACAGGAGAGTCCTTGTCCTTAAATCATTGCACTCCTTTTTGCACTTTATTGGAGCAAAAACAAACTGAGGCCCCCACAGGCAGGATGAATGTCAAGTGTTGGCAGTGGGCCTTCCCCCATCTCTGCCAGGCAGCTCCTGGATTCGGGGAACACAGGTATCCTCTTACCCCATACCCCACAGTCCCCTCGAGGGTAGTTGGGGGCAGAGCCCTTCATCACCCACTCCCTCTCATGGGAACCTGGGAAAGTCATTCCCTTCTGGGGCACTCAGTTTCCCCCAGGAACTGGCCCTGAGCAGGTGCCCAGACTCAGGCAGGTGACACCAAACCTGAGTCTTTTTTTTTGTTTTTTTTTTTCTTTTTGGGTCACACCTGGCGATGCACAGGGGTTACTCCTGGCTCTGCACTCAGGAATTAGTCCTGGCAGTGCTCAGGGGAACATATGGGATGCTGGGAATCAAACCCGGGTCGGCCACATGAAAGGCAAACACCCTACCCGCTGTGCTATATCTCCAGTCCCCAAACCTGAGTCTTGAGTCTCAAGGACAAGTTGATCCTGAGTCTCAACAGAAATCCTTCGTCCCTTCAATTTGGGCAGCAAGTCCCTGAGGTCCAGGGGATTAGAGCATGGCAGGAAGCTCAGAATCTCCACCTTACTCCTCTTCTGATGCCTCAAATTTCCCAAAGGGAAAAGGCCCCTAACGTCCACCTGCCTTTTGGGGTCACTGGCCTCAGGGATACAAAGACACGAGTTGGAGTGTCCTTCTGAACACATCTGAGTCCCTTCTCTCTCTATGGCATAGGAAAGGGGCAGTGGTCACACAGACCTGGGTTCAAATCCAGGCTCTGCCGCTGCCTCCTGGGTGGCCTGGGCCCTTTTCCTCACCCCTGAGCTCAGTGTCCTCCTCCCTAAATAATCACCACCGTCCTGCTGTTACAATGAGGTCACAAGTGAGGGTGAGGAAGAAAGCAGGTATAAAGGAAAGGGACCCCCATGACAGTGACATCCTGGGTGAAATAAAACCAAGTAGCCCTAAGGCTGTCAGGACCCACCTGGTGGACCCAGGAAGTAAGGCCTGATCAGACCTTTACCTGGTGCCAGCACAGACCCAGAGAAGTTGCACCCTACCTTGGAGAGAAGCTCCAGTCAGGCAAAGAATATCAAGACGACCAGCATCTACTCCCATCTCTACCCCTGTGGCAACCACACTAGCAAAGGACTCTTATTTAGACAGAAAGCCCCAAATGAGGCAGACTGGAAAATCCCTATAAAAGCCAACTTGACCAAAGGAAGTGTACGCGTACACTGCCTGAGCCCACGCTTCCTGCCGACCACCTATGTCACCCGCATCTCCCCCCTTAAGATGTGTCCATTCCATACTTTCAGATCTAATGCTGGGATCTGAACTGGGGGCCCCACTCCCCTCTGGAGAAGCCCTTGTTCTTTCCTGAGCACATGACACTCTCATCCCCACCCTCAACCCCTCACAGGCTTCCTCAAAACTTCCAGATCAAATCTGTGACACTCCCCTGCTTGTCTTCTCCTGAAATTCCTTTCGGAGAGAAAGACAAGAACCTGAAAGACCAGGGTAGACCTGGGACTTACTCTCCTTTCCAGCAGGAGGAAGGCTCAGAATCCTAGATTTCCCCGGCCATTCCCGGGGAGGTGGGGAAAGGGGGGGCTCATGGAAAGGGGTCACGAGCCTCAGGGGGCATAGGTGGATGGACAGAAAACAGAAAATTTCCTATCCGGGGCTGCCACTTCGCACCTCCCCACTCCACATAGGTCACCCCAGCAGCATCAGTGAGAAGGTTGGGTGTGGTCCTCTCCTCCCTACTTACCCAGGATCCTCTGGCAGGCTCTTGGGAATCAGAATCGGGGTCGGGTGGTGTCCAGAACAGCCAGCTGGGTTCGTATGTCTGAAACCCCCCAATACTTCCTCTGGGCACTGAAGGGAAAGTAAAAGCTGGAGCAGAACAGGATCAAACCAGCTCAGCAAACACACTCCAAAGACTGCACCCCCTCCCACCCCCGCACTCTCATCTCCTTAGAACAGCCCCCCCCCCAGGACCCAAATTCAGCTCCCTCTCAACTGAACTTCACAACACCCTGAAACCAAGAGCTCGAGGCCCCTGGGTGACTTCTCACGATACTGAAGACACGGAGAGCCCCGGAATGGAGTGACTCGGGTGTTCACGGGCTCCAACAGTGGGGGCCATCTCTCCTGAGACTAAAGTCACCTGCTATACTCCAAGCTCCGGACTTACCAGGGCCACTGCCTGGGGCCCATCCTGCATCCTGATCAGGGCATCCCACGAACACCAGGCTGCCTCTGTAAGTGAGCTCTGCATCTCGGTGCTGAAGCTACAGCCACACTAACACATGAAGAACCAAGGAGAAGGAAGGAAATAATTGCTGCCTTCTCAAATAAGAAAACCCCACTTCCTCAAACAGAGGTGGCCACAAGTGTCAAATGTCAAAGGTTGAGGTAAGGTCAATATCGGACTCCCACAAAGCTGTGAATGAGGCCCTCACCCCTCACTCAGCTTTCTAGGTGCACATCAGCTCAATTGTGCCCTCCAGGCTAGGAGATTCTAATCCTAAACAGACGTGGAAAAATTTCAGTGAAATGCAGAGGGGAAATGTGCCTGCCAGCGGAAGACTCAGGGGCTGGAGGGAAACTGAGGACATTGGTGGAGGGTAATGGGCACTGCTGAAAGGAATGGCGTTGGAGGCTAGCCAGGGTCAAGCCGTCAGGCAAGACCCAGAACTTCTTCAAAGGAGATCTTATATAGACCTTCACTGGCCTTTACAGCAGAGCCCGAGCATTTCATGGGCTGCTTGTGGGTATCTCCTAACTCAGACATTTGGTTATCTTCTGTGTTTACCTGGCTCCCTTTAATTTACAGCTCACGGTACCTGCATTCCTGTGGAGGTGGATAAGGGAAAAGTTACTAACAGAGGTACAAATAAGGAAGGGTCAACAAATGAAGACAGAATTTACATCTCAAGGCTTTACCAGGGAGGGGGCAGGTAAGGAAGAGTTACTAATTAGCAGAGTTTAGCTCTGGAATTTCCCTGGGGTCCCAAGGGACCTCACAAATTAAAAAAAAAAAATTAAAGGGGAAAAAAAAGAGCAAAACTGGGGTGGGGTCCTGATGTCTGAAAAAGCTTGCCTGGCTCCCTTCACAGCTGGGGCAGTGAGCCTGGGTGACTGCTTGGCATTGGTCCCACTTAAAACAGGCCCCATGGTGGGGACAAGTTGACTTCTGTAAGGGCCCCACCCACTCTAGCCCCATCTCCTAAGGAGAAAAGACAGTAGGAGGTATGGGGTGACACTAGGGGTGAGGACCCACATATTACATGCGCAAGACCCTGAGTCAACCCTAGTACCACATTCCCACCAGCACTGCTGGGTGTAGCCCTGGTGGCCGAGCACTTGGGAGTTTCCCCAATATTTTAAATAAAACAATACAAAAACCATTAAAGGGAAGATTAGTTTTCAACAGATCATTGCTAAACCCGTTACTACATTGGAAAATCATAAAAGTCATGACTCACAGGGCCCGAGAGATAGTAGAGTGGCTAGGGCGCTTGCCTGCTCACCAATGACCCAGGTTTGACTCCTGACACCCCATATGGTCCCCAAAGCCCATCAAGCATGATTCCTGAGCACAGAGCCAGGAGTAACAAATAATCCAGAACTGTGCCAAGTGTCTTGCCATGGAGAGTAAAGGTGGGGGGGAGGATCATCATGCCCTGGTGTGGGCACGTGATTAGCTAAGAGTCTGAGTGGTGGTTCCTTTCTGAGCCCCAGTTTCAGCTGAGAGGGACCTGAATTTGGGATCTGGGAGAGCTGTTCTAAGAGGATGAGAGGGTGGGAATGCTTTCTTGGGGGTGTTTTGCTGAACTGGTTTGATCCTGTTCTGCTCAGTGCTTTCACTTTCCCTTCAGTCCCTGAGGAAGTAGGCACCAGTTGTGGGGTCAGAAATAGCAGGTCTGGCTGTCTGTGCAGGACCCCTCACCCGGATCTGGTTCCCAAGAGCCTGAGGAGGATCCCTGGGTGAGTAGGGGATCCCCCACCCAACCTTTTCACTGATGCTGCTGGGGTGACTTATGTGGAGTGGGTAGCTGAGAGGTGGCAGCCCCAAGAAGGGAATTTGCTGTTTTCTGTCCATCCCATCTCTGTCCCCCCCATCCTCCCAACCCCTGTCCCCAGGATTGGCTGGAGAAATCTAGGATTGTCAGTCTTCTTCCTGCTGGAAAGGAGAATAAGGCCCAGATCTACAAGGACTTTGGGGTTCTTTTGTTTGTTCTTGGGTTTTTGTTGTTGTTTTGCTCTTTGGGTCACACCTGGTGATGCTCAGGGGATGTTCCTGCCTCTGCCCTCAGGAATCACTCCTGATGTTGCTGGGGGGTAGGGGAGGAACCATATGGGATGCTGGGAATCAAACCCGCGTTGGCCACATGCAAGGCAAATGCCCTCCCTGCTGTTCTATGGCTCCAGCCCTGCCTTTTGGGTTCTTGCCTTTCATTCAGAAACGAACTTCAGGAGAAGACAAGCAGGGAAATGTAACAGATTTGATCTGGAAGCTTTGAGGAAGCCTGTGAGGGGTTGAGGGTGGGTAAGAGGGTGTTTTGTGCTCAGGAGAGAACAAGGGCTTCTCCAGAGGGGAGAGGGAACCCCAGTTCACATCCCAGCATTAGATCTGAAAGCATAAAATTGTACCTCTCAAGAGGGGAGATATGCTGGACAGCAAAAATGGGCTGGGCAGCGTAGGCGTGCACTTGACTTTTATAGGGTTTTTCCAGCCTGCCCCCAATGGGGCTTTCTGCCTAAATAAGAGTCCTTTGCTTGGATGGTTGCCTAGCGGATAGAGTTGGGAGTAGTTGCTGGTCTTCTTGATATTCTTTGCCTGACTGGAGCTTCTCTCCAAGGTGGGGTGCAGCCTCTCTGCGTCTGTGCAGGCACCAGGTAAAGGTCTCATCAGGCTTTAGTTCCTGGGTCCACAAGGTGGGTCCTGACAGCCTTAGGGCTACTTGGTTTTATTTCAGCCCAGAGGATGTCACTGCCATGGGGTCCCTTCCCTTTATACCTGCCTGCCTACTCACCCTCATTTGTTACCTCACTGTAAGAACAGGACGATGGTGACTATTTAGGGAGGAGGACACTGAGTTCAGGGGGTGAGGTTAAGGGCCCAGGCCACCCAGGAGGCAGCAGCAGAGCCTGGATTTGAACACAGGTCTGTGTGACCACTGCCCCTCCCCTGTGCCTTAGAGATAGAGGAAGGACTCAGATGGGCTCAGTGGGACACCCCAATACCTCATGTTCTTGTGTCCCTGAGACTAGTGACCCCAGAAGGCAGATGGATATTGGGGGGTACTCTTTCCATTGATAATTTGGAAGCAGTAGAAGAGGAAGGTGGAGGTGTCTATGCTTCCCCCCCATTAACTGGCCCCCCGGTCCCCTGGAAAGATTAGACAAAGGATTTCTGTCAAGACTCATGGATCAAGTTGTTTCTGAGACCCCAGATCTCAGGCTTGGCGTCACCCACCCAAGTATGGGTGGGTGACACTTGTCTTATCAGTGCCAGGTCCCAGGGTCCCATGAGGAAAAGGGGGCAGAGAAGGCCCTCCTTGCCCACAGCCTTGTCATCTCTGTAATCTGTGGGCTGAAGGGGGTCAGACCTCTGTGTTCTGAATCCAGAAGATGCCTGGGTCAGGAGACGAAGCTACCTTGCTGACACCCTCATACTCATCCTGGCTGGGGAAGCCTGAAGCAAAACTATACTTGTGGGGTGTGTGTGTGTGTGTGTGTGTGTGTGTGTGTGTGTGTGTGTGTGTGTCTCATCTACTGCTTCTGCAAAGATTATCCTTTGTGTTATTAAATCCCTATTCCCCCTTACATACCTGCACCAGGAAGCCTGTGTCACCTCTAACCTCCACAGAGACAACTCACATAGAGGGCAGTTCAGATTTCTCATGCACCTAGCAGCCCTGCTTTTATCAAGGCTTCTGCTGATATCTGGGGTGGTAGTTTGTACCAGAGGGTTCTCTTTTATATGTTGAAACTGCAAACAGTCTCTGAGGATCTCTAGTTGTATCTGCCTTAGTTTATAGGCATTCTTTGCAACCTTGAATTTTTTAGAGATCCCCTAAATTTGATTTTCTTTTTATGTCTCTGGGATTCGAGTCAAAAGGTTCCTCAGTTGAAAATTTCCTTGAACATGGCTTTAGTTCTTTGTGAATTATCTTCCAGTTTCTCAAGGAGATCTTTTTGTGACTGCTTGAACAGTGTATTAGTTGACTGATTCAATAGTAGCATTTTTTAAATCTTCTCTTTGGATTCTTCACGTTCTTCTCTTCATCCTCTATCTCCTGTTCCCCACTCCTTGACTTCCTCAATGTTTGGTAAGAACATGTGGAAAGGAACCCACCAAGATCATTAAAGAAGGGCCTAATTGGTGTCCTTCAAAGAAACACTTAGAAAGTGACGTTCCAACGCCTCAGGTACCTGGGGCAGTTAGTGAGCAAGAAGGGGCAGGGCTAGGAAGGTCAAGCTCTGAACCAACAGGATTCATGTCATCAATCGCCTTTCACAGAAGGACACCTCCATGCCATCCCCAGGCAGTGCCCTCAACTCAGACCAGTAGGGATTCCCTGAGGAGGCATGGGGTCAAGTGTTGCCCAAGTGAGGAGAATCATGGACATCGCAGCAAGAGAAGATGAGAGAGAGAGCCTTCCCTCTTTTTTGGAGTTCATTGGGAGATTTGGCAGATGTTTGAAGAGGCAGCAATTTTGCATGTAACCCTTCTGGAGGGAAGCCCAGACCCCTCTCCTAACTGATCATTATGGCAGAGTTATTTTCATTGAACCGCGCACTTTTTTCTTCCCCCCACAGAGTGAAGCTACGCCTCTCTACCTGAATACGGAGTGCTGAGGGTGAGAATCTGCAGAATCATGAACACAGGTATTCAGTTCCTGTTCTCTGACTGGATCTTCCCCCAGGTCCCTAAAGTGAGGGGGTACCTCAAAGCAGAGATATCCTCCTTAGGAATCAAGAATTTGAAGGAGTTCATGAACCGCCTATAAGCTCTAGAGGGGCGTAATGACTCAGCTACTTGACATCTGTGAGGGTATCTCCTTCCAGAACCTCCTCACGAGCCATGACTGACGTGCTCACTCACACCTTCCCCTATTCATACTGTTAAATGACTCACAAGTGAATCCAGGACAGTTACTGAATACTTGGGGAGAGCAAAGGGAGGAAAAGAAATAGTGTTTCTATACTGAGTGAGGTAAGGCAGGGGACTGATTAGCAACCTGAAGCAATCTCTTTACTCCTCCATGCGTCCTGCCTTGAGTATTTCCCATAAGACCATTCTAACCAAGCTACATTGACCTCACATTACATCCACTTCATGCTTTCAAAGTTTCTAACCATGTCTACCTGAAACTCTCTAGACTACATCGATGTTGGAAATTGAGGTAGTCATGGCCAACCTTGAGTAGGAGCCCGTCTCTTCTTTGCAATATTGAAACTGTGTGATATGGAACATGTTGCCTGCACCCTTTCCTACAATGAAAAAGAATTTCCTGTGTTTTTAAACAGAGAATCACTGTGCTTTCCTAACCGGTGCCTCCACAGGGGCGGGACTTAAATGCTGATCCATTCCCTTCTCGTATCCAGTAGAATCTGTCCCCTCATCCAATATTCCTCATAGCTGTTTTTTTTGTTTTAATTATTTTTTCAATTGAACCACCGTGATCAACCATACATTTCCAAAACTTTCATGTTTGAGGTTGAGCCATACAATAATCGAACACCCATCCCTCCACTAGTGCAAACTTTCTACCACCAGTTACCCCATTATCCACCTCCATGCCATCCCTGTCCTCACCCTGCCTCTATGGCAGACAATTTCTCAGATACTCTCTCTCTACTTTAGGGTATTATATTCGATATGCCAAAAACAGTAACTATAACAGGTCTCATTCTCCTGACCCTGAAAGAGCCTCCAATCGTTGGGAAAGAGGATTAAGGAGAGATTGCCAAAATCTCAGGGCTGGGACAAATAGAGACGTTTATGGTGCCCGCTCGAGTAAATCGACGAACAATGGGATACTCTCGGTAGCTTGACGGACTCTCTGAGAGGAGCAGAGGAATCGAACTCGGGTGGACTGGGTCAGCCACGAACAAGGCAAACGCCCTACCTGCTCTGCTATCCCTTCAGCCCTTGTGAGCATTGAAATTATTAGTATTATCCAGTGACTGTCTACTACACATGTTGCTGCTTTCTTTTTATGGCCCTTGTTCTTCGTTCCCACTTCTTAGACAATTTTTTTGCTTTTTGTGTTTTTAATTGAGCATTTGATATGATGCTGCTGTTAGATCAACTAAGAATAAGAAAAAATAGGAGCGGGACTGGGACCCAGGGCTGCACTGCCTCTTGTTTCGGATCCATCCTCCCTTCCTCCCCTGCAGTAGTACAGGGTCAGCACCATTGGCCTCCTGGGAGTTCCTGGAGAATGGGGTTTATGGTCCAGCTGCAGAGTGAGAAGAAAAATTAAAGTGTCATGAGAGTCACTGCTCAGAAAATCGTATAAATTTGGGTGGTGGTGGGTGGTTCATATTTTTAATGGTTTTTCTGCTAAACTGAAGGATTCCAGTCTTAAAAATTTGAGATCTGAATCTTCTGACTCATTTAACCTCTCCTACGTCTCTAAATACGTCATCTCCAATACAGCCAAAATGGAGGCCGAGCCCAACTGGTTAAAGGGCACAAACATCTAATTCCATGCACCGGTTTTTCCATCAATAGTGCCTTGGGGGACAGTGTTTAGGAAGAAGTACGTGGAAGCACCATGGACTCAATACCAGGGAAGCTGTTCCCCAGTCCTCTCATGTTTTTTGCTTTCTTCTCCCATCTAGAGATCGCTATTAAGGACATCATCCACATTAGCCCAGATGAGGACCAGGACCTGTGGTTAAGAAAATATGAAGATGGGAGACAACTTTATGCCTATATTCCATTAATCAAGTAAGTAAGAGGGAAGAAGGGGTCAACTCTGCTTGTCACTCATTCTGTCACTCTGGGCTACTTTTGTCCTTGCAAGCACTCTTCCTCCATGTGGTTTGGGCAGGGATGTGCTCTACCCACAACATCCGAAAATAGCTGTTTTTTTTTCCAAAAGGCAGTGACGGTATGAGTTGAGAGCAAACGGTAGGAAGAGATTTTGTGAGCATGCACAAGGGATTTGCTTCCCTGTCATGTCTCAGTTCACTGTCATTAAGGAAAGTAAGGCAATGCATGTAAAGTACTTAGCATGGTACTGACACACACTGATGATCAATTTGTATCAACATCTGGAAACCATACCAGGAAGAAACAGGGCTGAAAATTTCTTCATAGAGATGACAGTAAACACTTCCTTTATGGAGAAGTAAGAACATTTTGGAAATGAGCGGAACTCTGGGAAATTCCTTTATCTTCACATTAAGGGCAAAATTGAATGGTTAGACTATCTACTATCAGAGTAGTTGAGGATCTTCTATCAAATAGGACATCCTAGGTGCCAGGAAAACACTTCCCAGAAGCTATGGGTAAAGTTCAGATTTGACTGAGCAATATTAATCTCACTCCACACTAAATGCTCTGAAAGAAGGTACTCCGTGTCCATCCCCCCTTCATTTTGATAAATGGTTACTACTCTATAAACACCTGTTTTACTGAAGGTGTTAATTTGTCCTTGCGGGTGTTGGTTCTTGATTAAATACCTATGATTTAAGAGCCACTTAAATGATTTTCACATTTTATTCGCTGTTGAATTAGTACTGGGAATCACTGACAATGGAAAACGCATACTTAATGTTAGGAAAAAATTCATTGCTCCTATCATATTCTTCATTTGAGTGATAGTGAAAATTCTGAGGTTTATCCAGGATACACATTGTGCAGCTCACTTGCGAATCATCTAATTGACTGTCAATACCTTCCTTCTTTCTTATAGCGATAAGGGAATGGCAATTCCTGAAGGTCTGAAGAGACATGGAACACTCACGGCCTCAGAAGAGATGCGCCAAAAAGAGAAGTTTAGGAAGAAATTTTTAGAATTCTATCCTCAGTTCAAAAGGGTTATTCAGGAGCACATAAACCAGTTCTATGTACTTGCAGAGGTGGCTGATCAAGTCCAAAGGAACCGTACCATTGCTAAAAAGGAGGCCAAGTCAGCTAAAATCCGATATATCTTCCTAGGTCTCATGGGTGCAGGTCTGTCTCTATACAATCCAGGGATAGGTATTGCAGTGTCTGTATATACTGGGGCAAAGATGATGAAAATGGCTAAACATAACAAGAACAAGGAACGCAAAAATGTGTCATCCATAGAAGCTGAGGTCAAGTTCTTGGAATCAACTGCTATCAAGTTAGAGGGGATTATCAAAGAGTTTTTAGCCATTGCTGAATCAATGACCAAGGGCGTCAATCGTGTGGTCTTAAGAGGTTTAGCAATTCTGAAGGATATATACAGCCTTGTGCAAGACCTAAATGGATTACGAGAGCAGGCCAAATCAGAGTGTGGTGGCAGGCTGAGGCAACGGGCTCAGGAGCTGGAAAATATGTTGGTGAGACTCCAAGAGGTCTATGAGATTCTGCAGTAGGGTCTGATTCTCTCAGAGCAGTGCAGGGAGCAGGGTGGTGGGTGGGACTAAGGGGTGGGATACATTGTCACAGGGAATTAGGAAGTGAAGTAAAGCCCACAGTATTGGAATTAAGGTGTTGACTTCTTCTATATCTGGGTACAGGGAAGAGGTTACTGAAGAAAGACAAGGTCATAACAAAGATCAAGGAATAAAGGAGAAATGGGTGTGGACAGCAAATATCGTGGGGATTAAACAATGATTTGGGATTAAACACTATTAGAGGAACGAAGATAGAGACAAGGAGGAACAGTCTGTGGGCAGATGAGCATATTAAAGTTCTGGAAATGGGGGAAAGATGAGATTTTCATATTGTTGGAATAGAGAAGTAACAGGGCTCCTCGGTTGACCCTTTCTGGGTTTATAGCCCAGCAAAATGTCGTTGATTCCTTCATGGAATTCATTTTCTCCTTGCCTGGCCTTTCTCCAGAAACCTATCTTTGTCCTCAGGTGGATTTATTTCACTTGATCTGTAACTCTTAATGACAGTGATGGGGGTGATGGTGGTGGTGATGTAGTGATGGTGATGATGGTGTGATGACAGTTGAATTGCTGGACCTTGTGTCAAATCATTGTGGCTTGGGGATATATATAAAGAACATAGGATTCCAGTGAAATTTTACTGTGGGAACAGCAGCTGTTCTGAGAAAATGGAATAAGAAGCCAGAACAGCACAAGTTGAGATCCTTGCCATGTCAACTCGGGGTTTGCAATGAAGAGAACAAGCGGAGGTCAGGACAGTGGTTCCACAAGAGAACATTTTTCTGCATGTGTGGGGCCAATTCATCAAGTGCATTTCTGGCAGTACCAAAGATATCCCAAAACATAAAGAGCTTCAGCCTGCTAAGCATCACAATAGTTCAGTTCTGTCTTATTACAGGGGCTTGTATATTGCTGCTAGTTAAATAAATATGTGATTTTTAAAGACTGTATGGAATTGACTGATGGACTCACTTTCACTACAGATTGATGGGACATACACTCAATTGACTGACAGCAAGATCTTGTTTGTGACAAGAGAGAGAATCAGTGTGAAAAGGAGACAGAATATAAGGCCAACAACAACCTTGTCCAAAGCCACCACACTGTTTTCCTAAGACCCCAAAGAACCCCCATGTTTTCCTCTCTATGTTGATGCTTGAGATACTGGCCCTGTCTCTCTGCCCTTCCCAAATTAGACCAACAGGTTTTTAAGATACAGACTGTCGAATGTCTCCTTCCTACTTTTAATGGATTCCCACAACTTTCAGCACCAAAGCCCAACATCTCCCAGTTTCCTGGGGTAGCTAGCATGATCTGGGATCCCCTGAAGACAGGGATGGAAGCACCGTCACTTAGATCTTAGATCACTTAGATGGTTTATGTGGGGGTGAGTAATCAAGAAAAGAAGGTCATAAAAAAGAATATGATCTTCTTCATCTATGACAGTTCAGTAATAGAGTTAGCCTCAAATTTACTAGAATAGCCTC